TAAAAAATATTTTATTCATTTATTCATGAGACACACACAGAGAGAGAGAGAGAGAGAGAGAGAGGCAGAGAGAGAAGCAGGATCCCTGCAGGGACCCCGATGTGGGACTCGATCCCAGGACCCTGGGATCACGACCTGAGCCAAAGGCAGACTCTCAACTCACTGAGCCACCCAAATGCCCCAAACACCTGTACATGTATATATGACAGAAGGTTGATAGATAGGGAGTCTTAGAATAGGGCTTGTGCACCTTGCTTTGGGATTTTATCCTTTTGAATTCTTGTAGTTGTAAATGGTCATGATTAGGAGTGTCATATGGTCAAAAAAAGATGTTCCCCAATAACAACAGTTGCTTGACGATGGCAGAAGGCCTGCCTGTTTTACAAATTCATGTGTCCCTGCAGTGTCTTATCAACCCAGGAGTCTCTTGACAGAAAACAGGATAGGGAGTGAGTATCTGGATCCAACTAGTGAGCTCTTCCGGCTATATCTCTCCTGGCCTAAACTGTTAGGTTTGTAAAATAGAAACCATTCCAGATATAAGTACGATGGAATAAATTCGATCCTGGAATGTAAAAGGCTCAGGGTCCCCTTACAGGTCTGCCACTGGTCAGCCTTGCCACATCTTTCAGCCTCTGTTTACTTATCCATAAAATAAAACCACTCAAAAAAGGGACCTTGGGATTAGGGTATGTCGCCTTTTTTTTTTTTTTAAGATTTTATGTATTTATTCATGAGAGAGGCAGAGACACAGGCAGAGGGAGAAGCAGGCTCCCTGCAGGAGCCCGATGCGGGACTCGACCCCAGGATCACGCCCTGAGCTGAAGGCAGACGCTCAACCACTGAGCCACCCAGGGATCCCATATGTCGACTTTTAAAATGAGGTGGATGTCCCACTCCTGAGGGAATTTCACATAGTGACATGTTCTGGGGGGAAAAAAATCTCATCTAGTGACACTTTTCTTATTGTGAAAACAAGTATAATAATTCTGCTTTTTCTTTTTTTTTTTTTTTAAAGATTGTATTTATTTATTCATGAGAGACACAGAGAGAGGGGCAGAGGGAGAAGCAGGCTCCATGCAGGGAGCCCCATGCGGGAGTTGATCTCCAGACCCCGGATCCCACCCTGAGCAGAAAGCAGACGCTCAACCGCTGAGCCACCCAGGCGTCCCATTATAATTCTGCTTTTTCAAAACATTTTTTATTCCTTATCATCCTGATATCTGTCTGTACACCCAGCCCCAACTCCCACCCTCACGCAGTTGAGAACCATCGATCGAGGCTGTCACAGTAGTTCCAGCCACCCTCATGGCTGACTGATGTTGCCCAGTGTTCCATCCTATAAGCCTTTGCTCACTTAAAAGCTTCGTGCATCTCGCCCTCCCTTTTCTCCTGCCCTTATCAAGTTAAGTAGAGGGTCATTGATCTGGATTTCTCAGTATGATGTCAACTACCCTCCTAGCCTTACTTCAGTCCTTACAGGAGTGTCCCCTGAAGGTAGCTCACATGTCCCTACTCCACCTGTCAAACTCCAGCCCATCTTCCGTGACTCCTCTCGCCCACTTTCCCTGACCTCTAAGACAGTTATGCTACCTCCCCTCTGTGAACATCCATGGGACTTCATTCATACTCAGCTACGTACTTGTCGAACTTCAGTAACTTAGAAGGTGCTTGAGGATGGTGACTGTATCTTACACAGCTTATTATGACCCAAAGATCCTAACAAAGCAACGTCTGCAAACGTTTCACTGTGATCCACACCAAGCTATATATTTACATTGTGACCTAGTGTACACATGTGTGTAGGCATATTTATAATTGAAACAAAGCTTTCGGGGCACCTGGGTGGCTCAGTTAGTTAAGCATCTGCCTTCGGCTCAGATCAAGATCCCAGGGTCCTAGTTTTTTTTTTTTTTTTTTAATTTATTTTTAATGACTGAAAGAAATCTAAAACAGCAGCTTCTGGAAGAACCACTTGTTCTTGCCGGTCTTGTACCTCTCCTCGAACTTGACCTTGGCCTCTCGTCGAGCCTTGCGTTTAAGAGCAGGGTCTCTGGAGACATCCTTGTTGAAGACAGTTTTGTCCAAGGGGATATCCACAGAGTACCTCGTGGGCATGAGGTTATTGTAGTTATAAACTTTCACAAAAGCCTTGATCTTTGACCTCTCGGCTATGGAGCCCCACCGCATCTGGCCCTCTGCTCAGTGGGGAGCCTGCTTCTCCTCTCCCTCTGCCTACCCCTCTGCCTACTTAGGCTCTCTCTCTCTCTCTCCCTGTCAAATAAATAAATAAAATCTTAAAAAAAGGAAAGAAAGCTTTCATACCATAACTCATATTCTTAGCGCCTTTGATGATGCACTCTGATACGTCGTTTCTTTTCTGTTCTGTTCATTTCTGCTCTAAATTGATTTGACGACCTTTAGTCACGGTTTTGAACAACAACATGATACAGCACATTGCGCACAGTAGGTGTACTATTATATGTTTCATTAAATTGAC